ACAGTGGCTTCAGGGATGGCAAATGATAAAGCTGTTGTGTCTGTCTTCCCAAGAGATCACAGACTTCTCAGCCTCCGTGAGCGAAGCTTTGTCTCTCTCTCCCCATACCTCTCACTAATAGCCAGGGAAAGCTGATCAGACCCCATCTGTGGGGTCCTTTTTCATCATGTGCCCCCCTGTGACACCCTCTGTATGTTGCTTGTTTGTTTAGGTCTGACTAATGGATGATGTGTAAAGCTGATTCAACGATTGTTGATGTTAGCTTTAGACTCTTTATTACCTACTCAACTTCACAGATATGACACAAGTTACAGAAGCTCCTTCAGTTTTTCTTACTAATTATTCTGTTGTCTTGCAGTTGTTAGTTATGTGTTTATCCGGTGATAGTTCTTTTCTGTATGCAGTCAGAGCTTTATTGGTTGCTTTGCAGACAAGCTAAGATTTTGAGGAAGCTTTTGGGGGTTTGGAGGGGTGTTGGTTGGTTGCTTGATTTAACAACAGTGACTCGTCATAATCTGGATTTTCATCAGAATGGCATCTGATAGCATGTCACATAACACATAGGGATTAGCTGAAAGTTAGGTAGGTGTTTGAAGATCTGTTTGTTCCCTACTGTGGTTTGTCACTAGAATCTTTAATTGCACACATCTTCACAATGGTACTGTAGTTCAGTCTCTATGTTAACAGGTTTTACTGCTTGAATTCAGCTTCCCAAATTATTCCTGTTGTATAAGTCCATGATGCAGAGTTTGTATTTTAAATTATGGGGAAGCCAGACTATTTCCCAATCCTTTGCCCTACTGCTTTAAAAAAAAAACCTTGCTTCATTTTGGTAAATCCCAGAATTTTAGTTAATTGAAATATCTCTCAATGGTTTTTACCTTCTACAGAAACTCGAATGCTGTTGTCTCCTGGCCTTGAAAGAGATTTTCTGAGTCCTCTTTATAACAATATTGGCTTTTTCCTTTAGAGTGAGGATATTGCATTTGTGATTTCTCTTTTGGAAAAAAATCAAGTTGCATATCATATGGCTCTGCACCTCTAAAGGCAATGCTGATTCTTGCTTACTTAATTGGGTTCTGTTAAAGTACAAAGATCAGTGTTTACAGAGCCATAGTGCTGTCTACTCTTTTATATGGATCCGAATCATGGGTCATCTACCGCCACCACCTGCGACTCCTAGAACGCTTCCATCAACGCTGTCTCCGTACAATCCTAAACTTCCACTGGTCAGATTATGTGATTTATACGTCTGTTCTAGAACAGGCAGCAGTTACAAGTATTGAGGCCATGTTGCTGAGAACACAGCTGCGCTGGGCAGGATACATCTCAAGGATGAAGGACCACCACCTCCCTAAGATCTTGCTTTATGGTGAACTTGCCACCGGCTGCCCCAAGAGAGGAGCCCCGAAGAGAAGATACAAGGACTCCCTGAAACAACATCTCAGCCTCGGGCATGTTGACCACCATAACTGGTCTACTCTGGCCTCCAATCAGGAGGCCTGGAGACACACCATCTATAACGCTGCTGCTTCCTTTGAGAAAGCATGCTGGATCACTCTTGAGGAGAAAAGACAACACAGAAAGAATCAGGTCTTGCCAATACCATCTAAGGAGTCTTTCTGCTGTGCCTTTTGCAACCGGACATGCCTGTCTCGTATTGGCCTATTCAGCCACCAGCTCACTTGTAGCAAATGTGGGTAGAGCCCTTCCCAAATCTTCGTTCGCAAAGCCTGGCCATGAAATCGGGTTCTGTCAAAGCCTGAAGATTGCATCTCTTTTGAACAAGGGTTCGTCTTCTTCATACCTTATACCTTTCTAGATAGGTGTTGGTTTTTTTAAAATACAGTGCTAATTTCAATTATTGTTTCAAAGTCTTGGGCAGTGGAGGTGCTAATTAAATGAAGAGGTTTGAGATCAGGTTAATAACCAGGCAGAGAAATTGGCATGAAGTGACGAAGGACATTAACAGTGTTCTTTGTGTGAGTGTAGTACACAGTGAACAGCTGAGGATCTGATGTTTTGTGCTGGTGCCTCCAAAGTCTTTAGAGGTTTTTGTTTGGTTTTGATACACAGGCAAACAAGAAAAAGCAAGGGTTTTTTCTGTAGTAATCAACTAAACACTGCCAAGGAATATTTATTCCTCAGTACCTGAAAGCATGATTGTCTGCACAGGCAAATTACTCAAACAATCCTTAGCCAGAATTTTGGACTATGCCATCTAGCCTTTCCCAACCATTTTTTCCACTGATGAGGGATTAGCGTGGTCCAGCAACTGTGCCCGACAGGCAGGTTGAGCTTTACCTGCTCTGAAACCTCAGGGTGTACAGGCCAGCTGCCCTCAGTGTCAGAGAGCTCTTCTGGGCATATTAAGTCATGTGTATAGACTGTAGCTGCTAAGAGCTGGGAGAGTTTCTGTATTTATGCTAAATCCTGTGGTCAGAAACATTCAAGGTGATGCCCCTTCCTGAAGGAAGTTACCTGTTGATCATTTGTACCCTGTCAGCTTTAAAATGCTACTAGTTTGATGTCTGTAAGATAACACAGCAGCCCTTCCACTTTCGGAGCAGCTGTAGATATGGAATATTTGTAAGGCATATGTAGCTGCATAGCCGCAGCTGTTGTGAACATCCAGTGTCTTGAAGTGAAGTTGGTATGATGCTTCTGCAAGGCAGTATTTGTTCTGCTTTCTTTATGAAGAATCAAAATCCATCAGTTACTTTACAGCATGTTTTTATAGCTGATTTTGCAATGTAGTAGTCATTATCACCATTTTTAATCTGTTGACCCTTCACGGCTTGGGTTGCTTCTTGATGTGAAGTTGCAAAAGAGTTGAATGTAATATTTGCAAAATGCTTTGAAGATGAAAAGCTCCACAGTAGGTTTTTATTATTACCAGAGGCAAAGTGAGCAGGAGTGGCTTAATGTTGGACTGTTCATTTCCCAAGAGATGGCTTTGTTTTGAAAAGTGCACATTATCAATTGGATTGTAGACAAAATTATTTTATTTCAATCCTGAATATAAATAAATTGGCAAACTTTCTACCTTTAGATTATTTCCATGAGATATTTGTAGAAGAGTAGAGCATTTATGGTACTACCTATGGCTCTGTTCTTAGCTTATGTTTACTGAAGCATTTTTTTAAATATATTTGGCTTCTACTGTCCAAAGGTATTTTGAATCCAATCCATTCACACATCCTTATATATATATATATATATCCGTATTTTTATAACTGTATGATACATAGATACATTTATTTGAGAAATATATGTATTTGAGATATATATTGCTCCTCAAAGATAAAATAAGTTCAGCATGTGAATTAAAAAAGTGACCTGCATTCAGAAATGGTGATGTTTTATTAGAGTTTTGATTACAGGCAATTTTTCACATGTTCAGCCTATCGCATATTAAAGAGCTGTCTCCTTTTTTTTTTTTTTAATAGTGCCTTAAATATTTCTTGAAGCATTTTTATTTCCAGCCTGTACCTACATCATAAACTTACAGGTTTATGTACAGAGACAAATAAAAAATAAAAAGTGAGCTGTTTGGCAATTCTGAAGCTGTTAGTGTTTCCTTGTGAGTTAGAGAAATAAAGGAGCTGCATCGTTCAAATGGCAATTGAGCTGCTAAACCAGGGGACTGCTTCAGGGACACCCGATGTCCTCACGTGGTTCGTTGTCTCCCTTGACCTTGCAGCGGGTCATTGCTTCTACGCAGCAGCCTTGTTTTGACAGAGCTGTTTTGTGGTGTCAGCAAAGGGTGCCTTTGGGGAGCCCTGGCTGACATAGCTGGGATTTCTGGAGCAGCTTTGTCTGTGGAGGAGCTGCTGGGCTGCGGCCAGGCGGGAGGCACTGCATCCCTGCGGCCTTGAGTGCTCTGCCTCGCACCCTGCAGCTGCAAAGGCTTTGGGCTCCTGCCTGGCACTTGCAGAAATCATTGTGGAATTTGCTGATTCTGCCAGATGCAAGCTAAACACTTGTTCCCAAGTGGTGTGTCCCATCAGTACAGCTGTTGGTTATGAAAAACATGCAGTGGCTTTCATCTGTAGTAATACAGCTTTGTTGAAGTATTGCAAGCTTAAAATATTCTGAGCAATACTCTGAAGCAGGACCTCCTTGCTCAGCCTACAGGGAGCTTTATTCCCTGTGCTTCAGTTAAAATGCTCATTTATTGTTGTCACTAATGTCAGAGGTGGGGAGGGAGGGAGGCTAAATTTTCCCTCAATACTGTCAGTAAGGATTAACTACAGCTGGTGGGCAGTACTTTCAAAATATTCTGGCCTATTTACACAATAAAACTGATCAGAACAAAATAAACAGTTCTGGTCAGCGGCTGAATGCTGTATTGTGGCAGCTATATTTGGCAGCGGATTTTCTCATCATTTTTCCAGTGTAGACAAAAACCTGAATACTGCAGAAATCTTAAGCAGTACAAGCAGATAATACCCCTACTGAATAGCTTGTTTCTCCAGTTGCCTTTTGGGGAAACAGGACAATTTGGCTGTAATTCAGTTGGAACAAACGCTTATGAAGCAACTGAGAAAAAAGCATATGAGTAGATTTATCATTTTGCCATGTAGGGAAATAAATAATTGCCTCATTTCCAGCAAGCCATGGTATATACCTGTGAGATGGTGGATCTCTCTCCAAGGTATAATCTCTGCAAAGAAGCATTAGATAGGAATTGCGACAGACCAAAAATTGTTGGTTTCCTGTTTGGGTTTTATTTTTTTATTTTGTAAACAACTGTAGTAGGTACTTGCAATTACCTCCTCATTTTTATGTGATATTCCTTAAGGAATGAATTGAGAGAAATGTTTGGGCAACCATTCCATATTTCCTGGGTCATAGATTTTTGGTAGTTTGGAGGATAAAATTGCCTGACACTCAAGATAGGAAATATCTCTTTCTATCTTGCGTCTTGAACTCAGTTTCTGAGACAACTAAAATGAAGCCTTTTTAAACTTGTCTTTTTTTTCACACTTCCATTTTAGTGATAGTCCCAATGCTGTCCATGAGGTGGAAAAGTGGTTACCACGACTGCACTCAGTCGTCATAGGACCTGGCTTAGGTAGAGATGAAGTTCTACTTGAGAACGCTAAGGTAATATGCATACTGATATTTTATCCTTTGTCTTTATATTGAATTTTATTAACTAGTTTTCTGTATTTTACATCATTACACAAATGTTCTTGATAGGGTTGCTAAATAACAAATTTAATAAAATATTGTTGACTGAAAATTGCAGTTACTGTTCGTGGTCTTCATTATTACACTTAATCTTCACTTGGAATTTTAGGCATCAGTATGGTTATTTTGATTTGCTTTTGTTTTGCTTGTGAAAGTCACTAATGAAGAAATAGATGTTGACATATCTAGATAAAGGGCTCTGTGTTTTCTGAGGTGCAAAGCACCTGTACGGTAAATGCGTAGATATGGATTTGATTTCCTTATTTTCGGAACCATATTTGAGATCTTTTCTCAGATGTATCAAAGAACAGGGACCGTGTCCCCTTGCAATAAGAAATAATACTCTTAATTATAAAACGTTGCAGACTTCTACTCTGGATAAAGAGGTAATCCTATTTTCTTTCAAGCCTCAGTGGAGAGATGAAAACAGGAGCTTAGTTTTGTACTTTAAATAACACATACTTAGACTGTCTTCCAGATGATGTTTTGTAGTACCGTCAGCACATTTTGGTATGTTTGAAGTGTATCTTTCAGTCTACTGTCAATCTAATTTTGTACAATTTCACTTTTTTTTCCTGAGCAGTATTACTGAATTAATCAGTGGTGCTAACAAGTGGAATTAATATAATTTACAAAAATGTTGACAGTTACACAGTGAAATTGCAAAACAGGGGAGGCAAGAGACTGGAGACCACACTATCCAAGTGGTTTAGAATACCTTGAAAACTAGGGAGGGTGGTTTTGCTAGGATTTTGTTAGAGAAAGTTGCTATTGGAGCTTTTCACTTCTTTAATTCTCCTGCTTCCTTTTCAGAAGGAAAATGTGTGTATTATGATACAGAGGTGAAAAACTAATAAAGATTAGAAAATAAAAAATAAATTATTACACCTGATGAAGAAATCAAATTTTATCCTAAATGAACTATTTAAACATATTTTTTTATTTTTTAAAACAATTTTTCAGAATTCCTTCTACAGAAAAAAAATTTTGGTCAATGATTTTTCTATTTCCTTGGTTAAAAAAAATTGTCTTCTGTTCCTAAAAGAAGAAAACTTTAAATAAAAGAAAATAAGATTCATTTATAATATCTAAGATATGGCAGATAAGCTTCTTTTATATCAGAATTCCATCTGGGGTTTATGTGCTTATCTGTACTAAAGAAGTATCTGGGAGATTTCTTGATTGTGTTTTTTTTCATCATTGCTAAAAATAATTTTGCTTTCTTAGTGAATTACAAGCATATTTTTATTTCAGCCTGGCTGTCCTGTGTAAGCTAGCTTAGAGTTAAAGAAACAAACCCAGCCGATAAAGACAAGGCATTTGGAAGTGACTTCATGCTAAAATCTCAGGATACATTCATGTGAGCCAAGGATCTGGCCTTATTAATTTCAATTCACATTAAAGCTCAAGTTCTTTGTCTTCACTCTAGTTATGTAAGTGTTCATTAGTTACCCAGTATTGTGGGTTTTAACTCGTCACTGGAGACAAGTGACCCCTGTTTGCCTGCTTAAGGAAGGCTGGTGCTTCTCTGTGCTGAGGGAAGGCTGAGTCTCCCTCTTGCTTCAATAGCAAATGTTAAGCTTCAATAAAAAGGCAGGAGATGATGTCATTGCTATTTAAAATTCTTATAGGAGATTGGGCTGGTATATAATTTTCTGATTTCCCTTTAAGCTGACCATGGCATGTGTCTTAGGAACACAGGGCTGAGAAGTAGGTGAGTGTCTGCTTTCTGATCAGGGTTTTGTATCAGTAGTAGTTCCAGTGGGAGAGAGCTTCCCCTCTTCCTCCTTCTGTCCCATTAAATGCTGAGGCATAGTGGTCTGTCACCCCTCTGATGCTGTTTTTATGTCTCTTCTTGTCAGTATTGTGCCAACACATTGCCAATGAATGTGATTCTCTAAACAGTCACGTGTTTGGGCTCCTTCTTTCTTATGAACATTGAGAAATTAAGAAATTGCCTAGTGCAATAACCTGCAATTTCTGGTACTTGTTGACCAGATGGTTTATCATCTCTAGATCAAAGAATGCTTTGCTTCCTCAGCATCTTTAGTATGTCACCTGCCTCCCTCATTCTTAATGCCTGCAGCAGCATGTGCACTGTGGCACTTGAGCTCCTTTCAACAGCCTGATTAAAACAAACCCCACCTTGTGATCACTTTCCTTTGACTTTTTTTTTTCCCTTGAGTGCATAGTGATATTCTTTGAATACATACTTACTGGCTTCCTCTGATTTTCCGGGTTTGGCTGTAATTCCATTTACAAGTCCTGTTACAAGAAACCACTCTGCAAGTTATATCCCGCTTTCATATACCGCTTGTGTGGGTCTGTGCCAGTAACCCTACTGTTACTCAGTTGCTTAGGTGAGGGCTGATGCTCTGTCAAAGCTTCCTAGCCATGGGTTTGAATGACCAGGAGCTGCAGCTTCAGGAAATTCTCCTAAAGAAAGCATTTGTTGTGTCCTAATAGCTGTGCAGCTGGATTCCTTGCAGATGTGGCAGTTGTAGTCTTGGCCTGATTAGACCTTCCAACTCTGGAGCAAATAAGCAGTCCAGGCTGTTTCTCTTCAAGAGAAAGGAGCGAAAACACATTTCTGCTCCACTTCTCAGCTTTGGAGCGTGCACACTGAAGCATCTCTGCTCCCCGTACTACTTCAAACTTCTGAAATGCTGTTACCATATTCGGTGTGGAACTTGGCCACCATGTCAGCTTCCTTGTAGGAAACGTGAGGCCATCCGTTTCTCCCTTTCAGTGCCCATGATTGATTCTGGCCAGAGATGACATTACGTTACCTCCCCGAGTTCACCTCAGTTGGAATGCTGCTGTGAGTAGTTTAGACTGTTGAGAAAGAGTTTAGCTGCCACACAGGAAGCAAGGCCAAGGTCCCTATGACTATCCTCTGTTTTGAATCTGCAGCATATTTCCAAAGGTATTGGATACTCTCCTTTTTTCCACACAGCACCAATATTATGTCCCTCTCATACCTACCCATCATAGTGTTCTTTGTTCAGCTGTACTGGGGATGTTTGCACTTCTGGTCTTATTCTGATCTGATTTTCCCTGTAGCTGAGGCTTGGAAGTAGGGAAATTTCTGCCTGTACCATCTAGAGCTGTTGCTCAGATGTGTGAGAGAACCAGATTCCTCTCCTGGAGGATGATGAGTGCAGCTCCCGAAAGCACTTTGGAAAACTACAATATTCCTTGGATAGCCTCGTGGGAGAGATGCTGCCTAATGCTCAAGGATGTTCTGCATTCTGCTGCCACCTAGCAGTTAGGCAGTTACAGGCTGAGCTGTGTTCTTTATCAGTTTCCATCCTTTTGACATCTCCTCTCCCCTGTTCCTTCTGGCTTTGTGGTCAAATGGACTGATACAGGATTGTTGGTGGAACAGCAATTACTGTCGAGATCAGGCAGAGAAGAAGCATTTATCCTTATGAAGAGCTCTGTTCCTTAACAGAAGTCTTTGACATTGGAATCTTCTTTGCCTGTCACTGAGTTCCTTCTCTCTCTCCCTGAAGTGCTAGCACTGAATCCTGGACTCTGGCACTTCAGACTTGCTATGTTTTGCTTTGCAGTAGCAAAGGTAGCTTGCTTTTTTCAGCAGTGCATGCTTGCTTCCCTGCTGTGAGAGAGGTAATGATTAATAGTAAGAATGGCTCTGTGTAATTCAGATTACACAACAAAATTGACTGGTTTCTCAAACCATGTGCTTGTTCCTCTCACTCAATTCTCAGTCTATGTTTTATCTCCAAGAACATGTCAGGAATACCAGCCTGGGTTTTTCTTTTGGCTGAGGCCCTGCCTAGCTGCCATTTGTGCCTATTGCTGTTGCTGTTTCTCTTCTCTCACCCCCCTTGCCTTGCAACACTACCCTCAGCCAGTCATTTGCCCTTAAAGATCTCTCCTTTCTCTTGGGATATAAATTTCATAAATCTCAGCCCTAGTGACATCATTGTAAGGTTGTGTTGAAAGGTTGTCTGGGCTGTAGTTAACATGGTGAGAGAGTTTTGGGCCGTTGTCCCAGGATCCCCTCCATTGAGTGTGGCCAGAGAGAACCCATTTGAAATTGTCAGATAGATGGATTCTCAGTTCTACCTTGATGGAGGCATCAGCCTTTCTGTGTTTGGTTAGTTGGATTAGTTTCTCCCTTTCAAGCCTCATGCTTTCAGGATTTAGGCAACACTTCATAGCCTTAGTAAATTGTGAGAATGGGACCAGGTGCTTCACTACACTACCTGCACTAGTTTTTTACAAGATCAAGAGGACTATAGAATACAGGGCCACCTGTTGTCATAGCTGTCTGTTAAAACTAGATCTGCCACTGTGGATCTTGAGAAACATTTTCCACTTGATATCTGAGCAGCCCCCCGTTCCATTTGTACCAAGTATACCTGAGAAGCATCCCAGGCTAATGCTGCAGCTGACAGATTAGTCGTACTGTCTGTGGTACCCACCCCATGCACAAATATGAACAGGGTTTATTACTCTTTAGAATCACTGCTCGTGACAACTCAAATTAGCAGAATTATTATTTCCCAAAACTTCATTCTTCAGTGTGTGTCACATGGATTTGCTTCTTTCCCAGTTTATACCCTCTGGATGTTCTCAGTGTGGGAATTCAGCAGTTCCTAGGGAACTGAAGTAGCAGTGAGGACAGGCCACTCTCTGTTCTCAGCAGTCAGCTAGAAGGAGGTGAGGTAGATTGGGTCTTGTGCCTGTAGTACTTGTTATGACCCGCCCCAGAAGGGGAGGGTAATCCAGGTTCTTGTTAATAAATCCCTTGGGGTGGATTAGAGTGAAACAACACTAAATCATCAGTGTTTGTAAATATATATATATGTATATATGTCTGGTTTATTTTAGAACAGTTTTATTTCAAAGGAAAATAGGTGTAGTTGTTTTGGTTGTTATCATCT